ATTCTGAATGCTATAATTTTTATTAAAGAATGTTGTAACCTTATTGCTGAATATTTTTTAACTAGAAATATTTTTTTATCAAATGATTTTATTGCCAAATACTTATTTTTTGTCAAATATTATCTTTTTTTTGCCAAATTATTGTGTTTTTTTTAAGTGCTAAGTGGCATAAATTGGATCAAATAATAAAACTTCAGTATAAACTTTTATTAATAAATTTGGATTTAATTGGCTGTAATTCAGCAGCCAAATAATCCAATTTGGACTAGTTCTAACAATATCCAAACTATATATGTTATTAAAATTCATAGATCCTTGATGCAATTGACGCAATTATTTGATACAGTTAATTGAGTCACTATTAAAGTATATAAATAATTAAGTCATGGCACAATTATTTTTGAGAATTGAATCAATAGCAAAATAATTTACATCATATGTATAATCCAGACTATATATGTGTTCATATTTAATTCAGATATTTTCAAAACCTGTATTATATTCGTATTACTAAATAACAATTAGTAAGTAATTGGAAATCGTATTTAATTCAGAATCATATTGTCAATCAAATTTCCTTTTATGGTAATAAGAAAACATGTATAATCCAGATCAATACCTAGATCTTTACATTTATGATATAAACTTCACATCAAAAATATACAACATATATCCAAATATTCCATAATTTTAGAAAAAACTAATCAAATCATTAAATAAACCAACCTTATTCTCTATTTCAATAGTGACTTAGAACTGATAATTCATATATAACAGGTCATAAAATTAATATGTGGCATTATTGATATCTTTTTTCTATCAGACTTTAACAACTGAATACAAATATTATCTGAAGTTCTAATATAACTATATAATACTATATGAAAATCACGATATGCCATAATCAACACCTCTCTACAAAATAATATAAATTAGAAAAAAAAATTACCTATTAATATAATCAAAAACAGTTAAACAACTTTTAAATCAAATTTGTAAAAATTCCTATTAATATAAGAAATAACAATAACAGTTAACTTATCTACTTTAGTTATAGATATTTATATTCAAAACAACTTTAACTTTTTTAAATATATTATCAAACTAATTCAAAACTATATCAATTTTATTTTTTCTAATACTGAATAAGTAAACATAGCTGCTCAATATCTTTTAACAATATATATTATTTTAAAATTTATTTTCAATATTAATCATTTGGTCTCTGTAAGTAAACTAGCATTAAACTTATTGTACTAACTTATAAAAAATATTATTTCTTTTATAATATATATTTTTAATATACAAATCAAATAAAAAAATAATGTTTACTTACTAAAAAAAAAAACTATTTCTTTAATTTTTTTTTAATTATTTATTTAAAATTATAAAAAGCCTATTGGCTTAAATTTTGAGCTATAATACTTCAAAGTAGCTATATTATTTAAAATTATATAACAGATAAGTGTTTTGAAAATTTTTTAAAAAATAATAATATAATATATAAAAATATAAATAAAAATAAAATATAATAATAATATATAATACTAATATATAATAAAGTATATCTAAGGTTAATAAAATTTTTGAAAATTTTAATAACAATATTTTTTATAAAATTATTTAATACCAATTGTTTAGAATTTATTTTAATTTAGAATTAATTTTTTTTGTTTTCAACAATTCAATTAAAAATTTTTTTAGATATCAATCAATTAAATTAAAAATATATTTATTTTTTAGATAATATTCAAAAATATTTAATTTATCTTATTAATATTATTTTTTACAATAATTATATATCATTAAGTATTTTTGATTTTGATTAATTGATTTTTTATAAAAATAATTTCACACAATTGATATTGGTTTTTTAAATAATAAAAAGATTGTTTGATTGTTTAATTGTATTTTAAATAATTGTATCAATAGTAAAAATAATGTTTATCAAATATACAACACGATGTATTAAAAAAGTATATAAATAATATTAAATAAAAACAAAAAAAAACAATTATTTGAATATTTTTTTGAAATGATTAGCAATAAAAAACAAACAAACAAATTTTTATATAATTTTATTCTTTATATTTTTATTTCGATTAATTTTTTACAATTGATTGTGTCTCATATAAAATTTAATATCACAATAATATTAAAAAAATAAGATGACCGTATTATATTAGAAAATCAGAAAATCAGAATAATAATTATAACTTAAAATTTTTTTAAAATAAATTAAAGAATCCTATGTACTGTACGTATATTACATACGTATATTAAATATAATATTGATTAATATTATTAGAATAAATATTATAAAATTATGAATACAGTAATTATTCTTACCCAGAAAATTTTGATTACTACCGTAATTTTATTAATTGTTCAAAAAAACATTTTAATTATTAATTAACCACTGATATGACATTATTGCGATCTCGAGGTCTCAATTTAAAGAAAAAAAAAAGGAACAATTATTATTTTTCTATCAAAAAATAGGTTCATAATGATCGCGGGAAGGATGTAATTGGTTCGAGGCAAATTATGGTATTCCTATACGAATTTCACAAAGGTTTAAGAATAAGAGAAAATGGGATTAAGTAATACTGTTTATTCTTAATTGGTTTTAGAAACAGTGTTTTTTATGTAACCGAAAAAAAAAAATAAAATAAACGTATTTAGAATGGCCGGACTTCCAATAAGATTTTCGTACGCAACGTTTCTTGATACAAGATCGGCGTTAGAAATTTATACATTGATACATTGATAAATATAGAACTGGATTTCTCCGAAATATTATCACAGAACTATTATAAATAGAATTTCTTAATTCATGTCATTCTGTATTAATTGAACTAATCAATTGTTAACATGGCGATGACCCATACGTAATACGTATGTATTAAATTTTCTACGTATGGATTATTTTAGTGAACTATCATTAATATTAATATTCGTAGCAACCATAAACAGGTTTGAACCTTTTGTTTAGAGTGGATATTAAACCAATATCTATTTAGTCATCCGCAAGAACCAAGTTTTCTGTTTCACATATTTCTCTTTTTGAAAAAAGCTTCCTCGTACCTCAACAACATATTTTACCTAGAGCATCTCATACACAATGCGCCTTTGGCAGCAATCACACAAACCACAATATGGCAGAGAAAGTTCGTCAGTAGGGAGTGGAGGGGATGGAAGTTACAATACACCCTCAACTCCTACAAGTCCTACGCCAGTTCCGGCCTCTGGCCTCATTATCATCCGCGTCGTCGAAGCACGTGGGATCAGTTTGCCTCCCGGTATAAGACCGCCTCAGGTTCCTCCACACTTTGTATCGCCCCCTACTACCACGCGGGGCAATAGAGATAGCATGCAGAGGAAACAATGTTGGTGGCTGCCCTATGTAGTTCTGGAATTTGACAAAAATGAAGTTTTGATCGACTCCTTAGGTGGCGATGTGCAGAACCCGACTTGGCAGTACAAGGCGGCTTTGTAAGTGAAAATTTCTTGTGCCCGGTTGCTTGGAGGGTTTACGATCGTGGAAGCATTTTAATTTTCAATGTATACATGTTCTTTTTATAGTGACGTTTCACGTGAATCAGATGTGTCCATACAGATCTATCTTCGCAGAGCGACACAAACAGGTCAACATAATAATGACATGGGCAATGATGTATATCTGGGTGATGTGAAGATTACGCCAAAATTCAAAGAACCAAATGTGAGCGAAAGCCAATGCATTTTACACTCTTGAAAAAAATTTTTTTTTCTGTCGGAAAGAGATAACTATTAAATCCAATTTATAGAAATTGCATGAAGAATGGTATCCGTTATCAGGAGGTTCGGGTAGTGTGCATGTTCACCATTGTTACAAGAAAGATCATGTATGTAATTAATTGGTCGATGAAGATTGTAAGAGCCTGTGTGTGGTGGTTGTATTCTTCTATCAATGCTAAAATTATGTTTTACACCCATATTCAGGCAAATGTACCCTTGGCGATTGATGCATTCGATTTACTAAAGGTCATTGGTAAGGGCAGTTTTGGCAAGGTATTTGTTATTTCAGCACATGATCTTGACCTGCTCGGAGGATGGATTTCTTCCATTCACCTGGAAATCCGGATAGGTCTAATTAAAAACTCAATATTGTTAGGTTATGCAAGTACGTAAACGGGATACATCTCGTATCTACGCACTAAAAACCATACGTAAAGCTCACATCGTATCTCGGTCAGAGGTGAATCACACCCTCGCGGAGCGTACGGTTCTGGCGAAAATCAACAACCCCTTCATTGTACCGCTAAAATTCTCCTTCCAAAGTCCAGAGAAATTATATTTGGTCCTGGCCTTTGTCAATGGAGGCGAATTATTCTATCATTTACAGCGTGAAGGAAGATTCGACGAGCAGAGGTCGAAATTTTACGCAGCAGAACTGCTTTGTGCATTAGAATGCTTACATGATTTTAACGTTGTTTATCGGTTAGTATTCAACCAGAATGTTGTTGAAATGGAACAACGAGTTCCCCACAATGGTCTTTTAATATGCGAGTTTTCAACTCATATTAAATTTTCACAAAACAAATCCAAATAATGCATCATCAAAAGGGATCTAAAGCCCGAGAACATTCTTTTAGACTATTCTGGCCATATTGCTTTATGCGACTTTGGTCTTTGTAAATTGAATATGACTGAATCTGAAACCACCAACACCTTCTGTGGGACGCCCGAGTATCTCGCCCCTGAACTGTTGTTGGGTCAAGGCTATACCAAGACGGTGGATTGGTGGACCTTGGGTGTCTTGTTATTTGAGATGTTAACAGGTCTACCACCATTCTACGACGACAACACAAATGAGATGTACAGAAAAATTTTGCAAGATGAGCTGAGGTTTCCAGAAGAAGTTGGGAGCGAAGCCAGATCTTTATTAACGGGGGTGCGTACCCAAATTATTCTCATCTCAAAAATTTCTTGATTCTAATTCTTTTCTTCGTGCAGTTGTTGACCAGGGATCCGAATCAGAGGCTTGGTAACAATGGAGCCCAAGAGATTAAAGAGCATCCATTCTTCGCTTCTATTGATTGGAAGAAGCTGATCCAAAAGAAGGTTCAACCGCCTTTCAAGCCTAGTGTCGTATGTAACATAACTACTGTTCACGTTGGATGTTCTCTTTTCTCTATTTTTGATTTTATCTTGGCTTGACACAATCACCCATTTTTATTTATTGATGTTTTATTAGAAATCGGCTATCGACACTTCGAATTTTGATCCAGAATTCACCTCAGAAACTCCAAGAGATTCATATGTCAATGATTCACAGCTTTCGGACACCATACAGCGACAATTCTGGGGGTTCACCTTTAATCAAAATGAAGGGATAATGAGTGAGAGTATGGCAAATTCGGTAGATCTTTAAAACCATCATCACAGAAAAGATCATGTCTCATGCTCGGAACAACAGGAGCAGGAATCATTACTATATCTTTTACAGAAAAAAAAAGTTTTGCCAAAATCGAGTGAGGAATGATTTTTTCACTATATTTCTCTTGTTTTATATTTTTTAGTCCATTTTACAACTCATGTTTATACATTATATATATATTCTTTTTTCTCATTTCTGATGACTGAGCTTTTTTTTGATGACGATCTTAAAAACAAAGTTGTGAATATTTTTGGGTTTGTCTTAGAATTGTGCATGCAGTTGAGCATGTCGAACCTTTCTGAATATCAGGATCACAAATCTCACCAGTCCCCCCCTTTCTGATCACTATTCTTCAACTTATATTTTTCGCCTGTCATTACATCATTTCTCCAATCTCGTTTGTTCATAGGATTTTTTTTTTTTTAGAACTAAAAGAACCCTGTATGTTTCCTATTTATATAACTATATGATTTTGGATCCGATACTATAAAAAGAAAAAAAGAAAAATTTACGAGAAGAATATTATCAAAAAACCAATGATTGTATCAAATGAACAGACTGATTTTTTGTCTTATTCCGTTTGCATAAGAGCGTTTCGTTAACCTCTTTGACATTGTCAAACTCACGTGATAACGATGAATGGAAGGGATATCATTTCCTAATTCGGACCACATCCGATTATATTTATACGATAAATTTTAAAAAGATCTATCATCTAATGTGATGCAATCAGCCTTCATAAATTAATCAATTGCCTTCGTCACAATATGTTTCAATTCGTCCTCTCGGCTTTTCGCACCTCAACACGAATTCTACCCAAAAGTTTTCATGGCCACAAGCTTAATTCTCGTGCCTTTTCAACCTCCTCGTTCGCGCAGGACATTCAGAAAATCACCGTTTATGGTTCGGGCCTCATGGGAGCCGGTATTGTTCAGGTCGCCGCGCAAAAGGGCTATGCTGTAACCATGGTGGACCTAGACGAAGGCAGCCTAGAACGGGGCAAAGGCATTATCAGTTCATCCTTAAAACGCGTGGCCAAGAAACAATTCAAGGATGATGAGCAAAAACAGAAGGAATTTATCGAATTCACTTTTTCCAATATAAAGACCAACACCGATTCTGGTGAGGGTGCGAAAGACGCAGATTTGATCATCGAGGCTATCGTCGAAAACATTGAGACGAAACAGAAGCTATTTGGTTTTTTGGATAAGATCGCTCCCAAGGATGCGATTTTTGCCTCTAACACCTCGAGCTTGCCAATAACAGAACTTGCAAAAGCAACAGACCGAGCTGATAGGTTTGCTGGGTTACATTTTTTTAATCCGGTTCCGCAAATGAAATTGGTGGAGGTCGTAAAATCAGAAAAAACTAGCGATGAAACACATCACGCTTTAATGGAATTTTCAAAGAAGTTGGATAAGACGCCCGTGACATGCAAGGACACTCCCGGGTAATATGATTTATTAAATGAATTTTTAATTACGAGACAACGTGCTCACCCGTTATACTAATCCGTGAATCCGCGCGCATGCATTACAACAATACTCATGTAGGTTCATTGTGAACCGTCTTCTGGTGCCTTACCTGTTGGAAGCGATTCGTCTTGTCGAACGCGGCGTAGCTACGTCGGCCGACGTAGATACAGCCATGAAATTAGGTGCAGGCATGCCCATGGGTCCCTTCGAATTATCTGACGTGCGTATTCAATCTCATTCATCATTTATTGCGCATCCCGAATGTTATTTACTAACTGTTGCATGTAAACGCAGTTCGTTGGACTGGATACATTGAAGTCCATAGCGGATGGCTGGCGAGAGGGTGGACAGGTTGATCCCAACCTTGTTGCAAAGATCAAGACTCTAGATGATCTCGTCAGCGCCGGAAATCTTGGACGCAAAACCGGTCAAGGTTTCTTCCCCTACTAGACAGCGGTGTTTGGTTATCTACGTGTACACGGGAACAATCTTCATGATTAGATTAAATTGGTAAAGTTTCGTAAATTTTGTGCGCCCAATAAAGTCCCAGTAAGAAAAATTATGTATTTACATTGGATAAGATACGTGGTTCGATATGAGTCCTCGCTGCTTCGTTTTTTATGATTGGTCGATATCGAGAATTAAACAGGATTATAAAAACTGTGGTAACACGACACTTTTGGAAATGCCATTTTAGTACAACTACGATAATTACGTATAAACATTCAATAATTGACAACGGTGTAGATAATACTTTTTTTTTTTTTCAACTATTTAATTCGTCCCCTTTAAAGAAGATTTGTTATAAACATGAAAGCCTTAATACTTGTTGGCGGTATTTAGAATTTAATTAAATGTTTACGAATGTTTCCTTCGGTCAAACAACATCTGACATTTCATGACCTCCAGGTTTTTGGCACCCGACTTCGACCTCTCACACTCACTCTCCCCAAACCATTGGTGGAATTTTGCAATAAGCCCATGATATTACACCAAATAGAGGGTCTCGTTAAGGTTAGTCGTCGGTTGTAAAGTCTGATGTTGGTCGTCGAGCACGAAATAACCGTTTTATCATCGTCACCCGAAGGCTGGTGTAACAGATATCGTGTTGGCCGTAAATTACCGTCCCGAAATAATGGTGGAACTTCTTAAAAACTACGAAGAAAGGTTCAAGATTAAGATTACGTTTAGCGTGGAAACCGAACCTTTGGGCACTGGTTAGCATATGGTAGAAGAGCGATTGATTGATAATATTAATTGGTCATTAATATATGTATTTATTTGTTTTTAGCTGGTCCCCTTGCATTGGCCAGAGAAATCCTTGCCAAGGACAAATCCCCATTCTTTGTGCTAAACAGTGACATCATTTGCGAATTCCCGTTCGAACAATTGAGGGATTTTCACGTGGCTCACGGAAACGAGGGTACTATTGTTGTATGTATTGACAACAAAGAAGTTACTCTCTATGTATATGTATGTTTATAATATTAACTCCGGAATTCGTGTATTTAAGGTTACCAAGGTCGAGGAGCCCTCGAAGTACGGTGTGATTGTTAATCATACGGATTCGTCCTTAATTGAACGCTTTGTAGAAAAGCCTGTGGAATTTGTCAGTAATAAGATAAATGCCGGGATCTACATTTTTAATCCTGATATACTGGATCGAATTGAGGTATGTTAGAATGAAGATACACTTTTTTTTTTATTCTTTCTTATTCATTGATTTTTCCACTCCAACTTACGACCGTTTTCCCAGCTCAAACCAACCTCTATAGAAAAAGAAGTCTTCCCACATATGGCTTCCGAATCTCAGTTACATTCGTTCGATCTGGAAGGTTTCTGGATGGATGTTGGTCAACCCAAGGATTTCCTAACTGGCACCGTCCTGTACCTCTCAAATGTAGCTAAGAAGCAACCTCAACTTCTATCCAATTCTTCTGTCCATCCCTATGTCTTGGGTAACGTTCTTGTCGATCCCACTGCAAAGATCGGCAAGGATTGTAGGATCGGTCCTAATGTCACAATCGGACCAAATGTTGTCATTGGTGACGGTGTCAGGTTACAAAGGTGCGTCATAATGGAAGGCGCTAGAATCAAAGACTTTGCCTGGGTCAAGAACAGTATTATTGGATGGCATTCCACTCTCGGCCGATGGGTAAGCGTAATTTTTTTTTTTTTTGTCTTGACGTTGATCCTTTCATTAATTCTTCATTACCACGATACTACATTTTTTACTTAGACTCGTCTCGAAGGTGTCTCTGTGCTGGGCGACGATGTTGCTATCAATGATGAAATTTATGTAAATGGGGGTAGCATCTTACCTCACAAATGCATTTCCAACAACATCACTGAACCTAGAATTATAATGTAGAAAAAAAAAAAACTTAATCCTTAAAAATGGAATAGATATTACTAGTTTTTATTAATTGGCGATCGTAATTTCCGTCATTATTGTATACATAATAATACTTTTTGTTTAATTGGGGATTTGATACTCATCTTTTCTTGGACAACATGTATTCCTTTCTCTGATGTTTTTAATATAACTAATTTCGTTTAGAACAGAGATTAATCGTAATCGATTTTTTGTCACGTGCATGTAAAATATTACCGTATGAAGATATTCTGTTACTCAACATATTTGAAACAAAAGTCTTATACTGTACATTGTGATACATGACATGTCCCAATGAATGCATCTTTATTATGAATGTTACGTGTCAAAAAAATTAATTACAGTATCAGGAAATCAGAATAGCATTCGAACGATTCTAACATAATGCCGTAACACAGGTATATTATATCCCATTATTTTAGGACAAAAAATTGTTATATCAAGACCGTATGATTATCTGGTTAAATCTGATCACATAAAGCTGTTTGTATTTCTATATTTTTGTTGTACAATTTGAATCATAAATATGTACCCATAAAGATAACATTTGAGATAAGAATTATATGATTCTTGATTAGAACCTTAAAAAAATTTGTGAAATTTTCTTTATTTATACCTTTATTTATTAACCCTTGTAATTAATATCTATTTATATAAACTTACAAATAAAGTTTTTTCTAAAAAAAAATCATATATGGTACTTAATAACCAGCATAATAAATACGATACTTTTTTTTTTTTTGGTTTGATTACATAAAATCATAGTGCTAACATTTTCGCGTATCAAAAGAAATAAAATAAAAATAATTCCATTATCGCGTATTAAAAGAATGAATCAAAAGGATATTTTAAATAGAAAATATATATATATTATTTAAATTTAATTATAATATACATGTTTTTTGAGAAATAGGTTGTATTATTTGAGATGTTAAGAAAATCATGAGATTATAAAATTAATTTACAAATATATATACAGTATTTTCAACTTTTAATAATATTTATTATTGTCATTTTTTCATTTGTTATTGAATTAATACAAGTAAATTATTAATCTTTTAAAAAAAATAATATATTAAAATAATTTAAATATTAAATATTTATTATTAATAAAAATAATTTTGAAAATAAAATTATTATCTTTTGATAAAACTTAACATAAGAT